TTACATCCCTGTTTCAAAATTATCTATTTGCATACTTTTTCAATGGGTTTTATTATAGTGATTCTTTATAAATTTAAATTCAGAGGATGTCCTTATTGTTATGGTTATCATTATCTTTTGGCTATGTTGAAATTCATTTGATGACCTGTTTGGTCTGATATTTCAACATGAAGAAAACATTATTTACTACGATCACAATTTGTTTTGTGTTATTATTTTCAAACACATTCCAATTTTACAGTTTTGAGTCCTCATGTGTCACACCTCATAAAAGTCCAAGCAGACACTATTGGTACAATTGGATGGTCACATGAAGAAATCCTGTGCACTCGATTACCAAATATGGCAGAAAATTAATTTCAGGAATGGATTGTTGTGTTAAGAACATTACTACATTTGCTGGATAAACAGAAGACTCATATGTAAAATCATTACTTTAACAGATTTACAATTTGCCACAGGAGTGTGTGGAGAAAAAGTTAGAAAAATTCTATGGAAATGTCTCAACCTCTAACAACAGCTGAAATGGGGCAGGCATCAGAAATATTGTGATGTGATGTTAAGCACAGATTAGTTGATTTCCAATATCTGAGCACAAGATTTATTAAATTTGATAAACGGGAAGAAGACCTTAATCAAGAACTTTCTTTTTTAAATTATAGAAATTGTGGTTGACATTGTAATCAATTTTTAAATCATTATAAATGTTCTTTTCTTAGTGAAGACATGATTTGAATGAAGACAAGAATGCACTGTATCATGAGTGTATGTTTTCTACATAGTAACCTACAGGGCAGTAGCTTTCTTTTTCATTGGATAATCTTCAATTAGTATGTTTCTTCTATTGTTATTAATCAGTTAATGTTTTCATATTATCTATGATAACATTAAATGGTGTCCACTATACATTTTAATATGTAAATAGTTAACTCTACAATTGTTTCTGCTTAATGAAAACAAATGAGACACAATGACCAGATGGTACCAGACATGTACCATAAGACAAGATGGTATGATGAAACATGTTAGAAGTCAATCTTCGAATATTTTCTAAATTCAATGAGGAAACCTTTTTGCTTACTAAACAATTAGTTTTCAATTGTTATTTATCACTTTGCTATTGTTTGCATTCATTCGGAATCAAGCTGAACTATAACTAAGATATAATAAAGTCATTTAGCTCAAAATTTATTTACCCGAATAGATGGCTTTTTATAGATTTTATTGAAAGTTTTGTCAAGTCTTCTTAAGATTGTGATGAGAGCAGGTCTCATAGCTTCATTTGTCCATTCTGTGGAAGGAAGAACTTCATTGAGGTAACGTTGCAGACCTCGACATGCCATAGTGTCTGGGTCATACGGAGACACTTTAAGAAGACTATGAGCCACATCTGCTAATCGCTGCAACGAATATAAATTTTTAGAAATTCCCTTCCTTAGAATTTGTGTAATACTGGATATTTTTAAATATGAAATACTCACTACATGAGATCTTATATCCAATATTTCTACAGGCTTTCCATCAGACCCAGCTTTTTTGTTAAGTTCAGCTAATCTTATTGTACTTTTTGTTAAAAATTCTGCTACTAGGTTAAGAATTATATCTCGAGGTCTGCGGAATTCATTTCGTAGGACCTAAAGCAAATATTGTATAAAATCAATCTATAATATAATAAATTATATTATATTGAAATTTTCTGGTCAGACAAATTTCATAATTACTTCAGAATCTTCTAAGTCTCTCTCATACACAACTTTGGTACGACTGTGATCACTTATGTACTTAGAATGAGATTCGTCTTCAAATTCAAATCCTGGAGAATAGCCTCTGCTATAATTACGTTGACTAGATCCCTTGTGCTCTGGACTGGCTTTCTGAGGTCCATTGTAGTTCCTGCACATTGAAAGAAATTACTCACAACATTATTTACTTAAGCAAAGTTGAAAGAAGATATTTTTTTCTAATTGACATTAAATAACAATGATAAATTATTTTACAATAGTTTACTTTGCTAGAGCTTCACTGTTGTGTACAAGAGTGCGTACAGCCACGGCTAACTGATGAATAATTTCTTTCTCTGTTTTTCCATCCTTAATGTAATTTGGTTGAGAAATATGTTGCATATAACAAGGTAAAATGGCTTCCAAGATAATCTGAAATGAAATTTAATGACAAAGTAAAATAAAATTATATTTACAAAATGAATTTTGTGAAATGGGATTAGTTTCAATTTATTTCCATTTATCACCAAATATTCCCCATTCAATATTCAATGTTCAATTCCTTCAATCCCTTTCTACATACACATGCATTTTCTAAAAAGTCTCTGACAAACTTTTGAATTTGGAAGTCATCACAACCCAATGGAAGAAAGCCTTCGAGGCAAGGTGAAATTCTGCAACATAATGGTTCCTTCCCTGTGATATAAAGGTTTCAAATTGCTATTGAAAAACAAGCTGGATAATACTTGAGAGGGAAACAAAGAATATTTCTTCTGGAGAAGAAAGATAAGATTACAAACAAGAACAACATTGAAAATTACATCTAAAGTCTTTTATATTTTGTAGCTTAATCTACCAAGAGCAAAGTGAGCATTCTTATATTCATTTAAGGAATAGGAAGGATTACATTCAAAATATGACTCCTATGATGAGCTATTATAATTTTTACTTATTAGCAAGAAATAATTTTAATATTGTGTGGAATGAGTTATAGAGCAGTGGCAACATCTCACAGTGACTTACAACTTTCCAAACACAATATGCTGAAAATATTGTGCCACCTTTAGAAAAGTTCCTTACTCAAGCAACCCTAAAATAGTGTTAAACAACATGATCATGTATAAGAACTTGCCACTATGCAACTCAGCAACTGTTAGGAGGTGGTCAGAAGCTAGCCACTGTATCAGAGGCAGCTACTTTACAGTCACATTTCAGTTACCATTTTGTATCCAGACAACAAACAAGTTAATATATTGTAAACTATCTCTAATAGTCCACATCCTTTCAAAATTCTGATAAGCAACCAAAGAATTTGACTTCCCATTTTTCCTTTCTACTTTCCTCCATTTCTAGACATCCCTCTTTTAAACTAGGAGTCAATAAACAATCAACAGTTATGAATGGTCATTAATTTTTTGTCTTTCCATTGTCATCCTTTCCTCCATAATGAGTATAGGTTTGCTAAGAATAACAGCTTTCTGAAAGACATTCTTTGCATCCATCTATACTATATAAATATTAATTGCCTCTAAAATATCTGTTTGGTGAGATCAAGAGAATCTTGGAACTCTGTCTTCTCAATGCATCTTGAGACTAATTTTTTGACACTGCTAATTTGCTAACTTTAAATTGTTAGATTCAAATGAAGATTCTACATTTCCCAATGCTTTATAGTGTGTGTCTTATCATGGACTGCCAAAGCTATTAACTTCTACAAAAAAGCCAGCAAAAATTTGTATACCAGCATTTGATGACCACGTACAGAATCAGCTGCATATGCTATTACCATGACACACAGTGATATACAGTCAAGCACTGTTACCATTTCATTTTCATCATGATAGCAAAAATCAATTGCTTTTAGAGGCTTTTCTTCCTTTACCAGCTCAGCAATATTCAAAGGATCTGGGGAAGGAGTTTCCAGACTCAAAAGAAGATTGAATAAACAACTGGATTGCACCTGAAATTATTAACTCCATTTAAGTAATAAAATAATATGAGGAATGCTAATAATGATAATGTATTACTAAATTTTATGATGAATGTTTACAAATAAATTATACAAAGTACTTTAGATCTCAAGAATGCAGATTTATTGTGCAATGCAATAGATATAATCAAGAGGAAGATTACTTTGTGGGCATCTCCATACTGACTATCCTCCTCACAATCCAGAATTGCTGATACACTTCCAAACATCTGCAGAATGAATGGTTTTCTATTCATAAGGTAAAATTGTTTAACAGCATATTCCACAGTAGTTTTTACCAACATATTTGTTTGATGATTTGCATACAACTGCAGCAATGTGGGCATTATCAAAAGGTACCTAAAACACAATTCAACGTGTTGATATTTGTTTTGTAACTAAACCTAAATTTAAAAGAATTGAAATTACCCATTTGTAGAGAAAATGTTTTTGAAATGATGAGCTGCATTTATGTAAGTTGATGTAACATAACGGAGGATACAGGCATCTCCACTATGAAGTATAATGGCTCCATTGAGAACATTAAGAAATAAATGAATGTCTCCTGAGTATGCAAAATTTCCTGCCATTGCTTCAAACATACGTGCAATGAGACGTACCCACATAAATTTATGAAGAACATCCAGACCCATAAGCTCCTACAAAGATCAAAAATAAATTAGTCCATTCATTTAGAATAAATAATTCAGGATTACTATCTATTCTTACTTTTCCCATTTCTCCACCTTTATAGAGATCCAAATCAGCTTCCAAAGCTTTTCGAGGAAATGAAGGTAATTTCATGAGTTCTTCATGAAGAAAAACTACTCTTTGTACAACCTGGTACACGCAAAATTCAATGATAAATATTGTTGTTATACACCAAAATAAGTTTTGATCTGATACAATACTTTATCATAACATTATAAATAACAATGTTTGTTGCATAACATGCATAAAATGTTAAACATGTGAGAAATGAATCTCATGTGTATTTTTACAGAATGAAAGGATGTATTCATATAACTAATAAGAAATGAAGCAATTAATTTACCATATCAACATTTTTTAGAATTGCCCATGTAAGTAGCACTTTCCCAATCTCTACAAACTTATGAAGTAGTTCTTGTTTTTGAAGAGCATTGAATGCTTCTTCTGGTTTCATATGAACCAGCTCCAACTGAGGATACTGTGAACGCTTGAAAAAGTAATAATCTCGAACATATGATGATGGATTGTGAATTTGACCTGTAAAAACACTATTTTTTGGTAAGAGAACAATGAAAAACTACTGAAAATATAAAATTAACTTAATAATTTATTTAACAGTTTCATATTATTAAGTCTTTTTTAACAACACTTTCTTATTGATAACTAATACAACAAATGTTTGTCAAAGATAGTTAAACTTCGAGAATTTTTATAATTCTCTAGATAATATGTATTTATTAGGGAATTAGTGTAATCCTGTTCACACCAATTGCAAAATTATCATTAAAAAATAACTTACGAGTTTTATAATCCACCAAAAAGAATTCCTTGTGTCGAGCTTCATCAATACCAAAAAAGTCCAATGATTCCCTTAGAATCTGACAGAATTGTGTATCCTCTTGTACAGGAAATTGTGATGGAATCTCTCCTGCTGTTGGATCTATGAAATAAAACTTGAGCTCTCAAAGCTGAACCAATCACGCTATGTTTTCAAATAGACAAATACATTTAATTTTAATTCTATTGAGTTATTATTGTAACACTTGAATAACCATTTCTATTTACTTTTATCATTAACACTGACTCTCAAACTTTATATATATTCCAAATAGTATTTGTAATCACTATTTCATTCTGTTAATGTGTAAAATGTTTTGTATTTTTAAACATATGAATATCTTTTATATAGTAAATCAAAATATACAACTTCCTGAAGTTGCAGTTGCTGTTGCTTCCTAAAGTTGCATAGTTTAGGATAAAAAGAGCTTGTTCTTCGGTCAGCTTGTTACTTTTATCATAAAGGAGCATTTTTATAGATTACAAATTAGTAAGCTATAAACAAATTTACTTATTACAAAAAATGAATTACACAACATCCAAGAAATATGATTATCACCTTGAGGTCCATGTACTATTATTTTTTTTGCAGAAGGTACATTTGCTGTTAAGAGAATAGATGCATCACATTGTTCCTTTCTTAATATTTGTTTTAAGTCTTTAAACATTATTCCATGAACTGAATGAACCACCTAAAAATAGAAGACAATGACATTATATGATTACCGCATAACTTATAGTATTCCTAAGGGGAAAAAAACAAACTACTTTTCCATTATCTATATTGAAAAGAATTTGGGAATGATATTTCTGTAAAATAATATTGAAATTCAAAGCTCAGAATTTTTAATGAAGAAATAACAGAATGCTATTTGAAATATCATATAATTTTAATCAACATTTTAATTTTGAAATTAAGAAAAAATTCAGTGTTTACAAATAACAAGCTACTTTTCCATCTTGCTTACCATCCACAAAATTGACAAAGCTGTACCAATGAGCTGTTGGCCTTCTTCTTGAGGAGAGCGCACATAGAACATGACATAGCCAATTATATAATTGTATAAAGCAAATGCAGCTTGCTGAGGTAGTTTTGGCACAAACCGAATGAGATGACGAAGGATTTTAAACATGAGATCTTGTTTGTCCCTAGTAAGTCTTTCAAGGACATAGCGAAGAAAAAGAGCTGAATCTTCAACAAGGCAATTCCATATCACCTGAATTCAAGGAAAATTATGTAGAATAAAACTGTATTTTTAACTTCATTTTAAGTTTGTATGTTGTTTTGTGAAAGTACCTGATAAGCCACTTCATATACAGCATTTCCATCAGGAGAAACTGCAGCATCATCTAATAAAGTGATAATTTGGATAACAGCAGAACAGAGACAGGATGGAAACAATGAATGAGCTGAATGGATGTGATGAGTGGCATTGCGTTGATTTTCTGGTTGTTCTTCATCTCCTGAAATTTTAGAATTTAGGTATTTCATCTTCAGATATCAAAATTTTGTCGCAGTAGAACAAGGGCTACCCCAGTTTTAGCTACTTCTTAGATATTGAGAGTTTTACTAGAACTTTTATAATATAACTCGGTACTCTTTTAAACACAGTATACTTACATATAAGTCCATACTAGATTTAAATAACCATATAAACTAAAAGAATAATATTCAAAATTTTATTTAATATCTCAATGTAAATTGAGTGAAGTAAATTTTTAACAGTTTATGAAAATGTTCAGTTCAAAAGATCAAAAGAGGGTGTCTACAGAATTTCTTATGATATTTTGGAAATTATGATCTCGACAAACCACCTATTACTCTTTCATTATTAATTTCAAATATGATTGTATGTGTCCAATTTGCCACTGTGAATCATGCATAAATAAAAAAAAATTAAAAAAACCTTTGCTTCACTTCAACAGTAATAAACACTTTAATAATATTAGTGTTGTTGCTCAGTGATTTAAAACTTTGGTCTAAAAATATAACTTAACATACCTACTTGTTATTTTCCTTATTTTCTTACACAATGAATCAAATATTTTTTTAACTACTTCATGTATTTGTGCATCTAGTTTGCTTCCAGATAATTCTATGATTCTTAGCTTTATTATAGCTTGAGCTCAATATTCTCATGCATTTTGTGAAGTCAAAGCAAATTGTGGAAACTTTATGCAAAATTAAAATAAACAGAGTTACCAACCTTCATCATGATCATCTCCAACTGCATGGTACAGACTAGGTTCATATGCAGCTTGAACAGTAATGGGTATAGTAGTAATAAGAAAATTTTCTCTTTCTACGCGTTTTTTGTCTTCTTGAGCTTGTAATGCCATTTTGATTAACTCTGTCTGTTGCTTCTTGCGAGTTTTAGTTGCTGTGACCAAAGAGCGCTGCAAAAAATTCGTATTTCTATCTGACCCCAAAAAATGACAACAAGAATTATCTAACTACCCAAACTCAAAGCCTAAATGCAAAAGTAGTTAATCATTTATGTATTTTTATTTTAATATATCTTAATAAGCATCTTCTACAACCTAGAATTAACTATTAAAATGCCTATCACTCTGAGGATATTAAAGTTTTAGGAAAATATGAAGATTGGAAATTTTAAAAATTCAATGAAAATCTCCTATTCAGTCCAGATTTAGATCAATTATTTTAATTATCCTTTGGTATAAAAACTCTTTTTCACTCACATGGCTTTCCTGACTGATTGTGACTTCTTCTACCTTTGTCTTCACTTGGGGCATCCAGGGTGGATCAACAACAGGTAAAGACTCAATTCCAATCTTAGGTGAAGGCAAAGTAAACTCAATACCTGGTGGAGGCACTTTGAAAGTCATATGAGCACCTTCTTCCATTCGTGGCCATACTTGGTACCTTAATTTCCATAACACCTGAAACCTGGGAATGCATTTTTCAGATAGTTCATTCAAAATTTCTCTTTTTAATTAAGATACTTAAAATATTATTTAAAAATATATGACTCAGCATAAATGAAAAGGAATGAGAGTAGCAAAGGATGATATATTTTCTTTAAATTGACTCTCTCTATCTTTAATAAAAATAAAATACATTACGTAAAAAAATTCATGTGTGACTGTATCAATCTGTTCATAATGAAAATAACAATTTCAAATAATGATTTTTTGTTTCAGTCAAGTTTTTCACCTTAAAATGGCATTTATACGCATTGCTGGTGTCTGATGATGAAGCCCATGCTGCATTATGTCTGTTGCTTGATTAGGGGCACGAACAGCCCCTAAAATAAAAAGTGAGGCTGCAGTTGCAGCTACTTCTTGATTGGATTCTAACAACAGCTCCCAAGCTACCGGAAGAACATCAATGAAATGTTCTTCTCCCAAAACCACAGCCCCTTTTACTAAAACAGCTAGAGGGGCATGGAAGACATCGCGCACCTACAAAACAATAATATTCAATTTAACTAAATTAACTAAGTACGTGTTTGAAAGTTATTTCACTTGTTTTCAGTTTCAGTTATGTCACAGGCAAAATTTAACTTTTTTCATTTATGATGTGATGACATATTGACACCTAACAGAGTTTAGAAGCAAAAATATGAAAGATTGGGAAAAAATTACAGAAAAAAATCAGATAATTTCTTCTAAGAAAATTATAATACTAATAAAATAATAATCAAATGTAAAAGTTTTACTAATATATCTAGTTAAAAAAGAGCTCAACAAAAAAATGTGATAGTGAAGCTATACCATTATGTACAAAACAAAACAAAACAACAGACCAAATAACTTAAAATCTCTGAATTTTCAAAACTTGCAAAAGTTTAATTTTCGTGATATATAGTACCACAAATGTATTCACGAGAGAAATTTATTCTTAATGAAATATGTTCTTAATGAATGCATTAGTAATAAATGTCATGCCTAATTTTTTCAAAATAACAGTAGTTTTGACATAATTTTTTAATGAAATTATGACAATTTTCAAAAAGCAGGAAACATTTTTTTCATAAACAACTACAAATTTCTTCTTTAAACTTTTTGTTTACTGTTAACTTTAAAACTGTTTCTTTTACTTTGTTTATTTTACAATTAATACGAATCTTTTAAAAAATGCCAATACTGAAAAAAAATTTTACTTATTTCTTCATCTTCTTTCATAGCAGAATATGAATAGTTTGTTTGAATAGAATTCTGCATTTACAAAACAAAAACATATCTTAGAACTAGTAGGTAAAATATTTGCTAAATATTCTAAGGTTAAGAAGCAAAAGTAAACAAATAATTACTTTTAAAAAAATAAGAAAATAATTTGACAATATTGAATGAAAGCAAACACATAATTTTATTATTTTTAATACAAATGTGCCGTTATTATAAAAATTATTAATTGTTTTTTCTAAGAAGATTTCTTAAAAAATAGTAAATTGTACATGCCTGGGTTTTAATATACTTGAGTATTACAGCTTGTTCCTTGGGTTTTTCTTCTGCTTGTTTTCTTTTCCCAGTTGACTGTGGTCGTCCTCGCTCCTGATCTTGTTGTTCTGCAATGTCCCGTGATGACTCACGTTGACTCATTCCCATTTTGGCACTTTGTGAACTATCAAATCCACGATCAATTCTACATTAACAAAACAAAAAACATATCTTAGTAGAGCTAGTAGATAAAATATCTGCTAAATATTTCTAAGATTTAGAAGCAAAAGGAACAAATATTTACAATAAATAATCATTTGACAATATTGAATGAAAACAAATGCACCTATCACGTCTACCCATGCTGTCTTTTCGTCGAATGGGAGATGCTTGAGTACTGGCTTGATCTGAGACTTTACGTCCTCGATGTTTTTCTTTCTTGGTATCATCACGATGATGTTTTTCAGTTTCTGTTTCCAATTCTGCTCCAGTTACTAAGCCAAACTCTTCTCCATACACCTAAAATTTGAAATAAAATAAGTCAAATATTCTAGCTTACCTGCATTCCAAATGCTTTATTTTCAATTTCAAACTTTCTTTTCTGAATCTAGATTTAAAATGTTCTCATAAATGAAATCATCATTGAGTGTACAAAGAAATTTCATCAGCATAAGAATAGGGGCCTATCCAAAAACTTCTCTCTGAGTTATATCAAAGTAACTTCATTAAAATTGAGTGGAATTTTAGGCACATTTTAATACAATTTTTTAAATCAAAAACAATATTTTTTTCATTAATTTGAATTTTTATTAATACTTTGAAATAAGTAATGCAATAAATACAACAAACTTTGGATATGAAAAATAAGATGATGCGAACAATTCCTAGGAATGCAAGACAGAAATAACAGAAAAAGAAGTGAAAATCATGTTACATAAGGCCAAAACAAACAAAGTCCCAAGACTAGGAAATCAGAGAACTTCTGAAGTATGGTGGAGACATGGTTATAAAATATTTTGTTTCACAAAATAAAAGTAGGAGAAGACCAACCTACACAATGAAACATGTCTAAAAATCATCTACAACAAGATAAGTTCTCTAATATTTTGAGTTAAAAAAAACAAACAAACAAAACCTGGTAACATTTACTGTTCAAAGCAAATTATTGAAAAATACAAAAACATGCACCCCAAGAAGTCACAGAAGTTAAACAACTTGAGACATCACTGATCCCTGAATGAGTGATCATCTAGGAACCCTGGTTACTAGCAGCTCTCAACCCTTGGCCAAAGGGATAAAAGGCATTGTCGGACTGTGATGTGATGAGACAAAAACTTCACCAAGGATTACTCCAGAGATTATACACTCAATGCCCAAGATGGTTCAGTAATAAGAAGTACTGGCACATGTGATGATGATATTAACTCCAAAATATTAATGGGAGAGGAAATAACAAAACATACACAGTGATGTAGAATGGCCATATGCAACGAGAAATAAAGAAAGAAATATTTCGTAGCATAGTAAAAAAATATAGTTCTTTATGGAGGAGAAATGTGGTCCCAAACTAAAAAAATTAGAGACAAAGTAAGAACAGTGGAAGTGGAATAGAACACACTTTAAGTTCAATAGATATTTTAATAAATATTTCAGTTGTAATAGAGAATACTTTTAAATTAAATTAAACTGCAAATTAGTAAAAATAATAAAAATTATTGTGAGAACATTCACTTTCAATAAGGGTGTGGGGAGGGACAACACAGGTGTGGTAACTCACATTAAAAGAAAATTCATTTTTAAATAACACCATATTAAGTTAATCTATTTTATAATTTTATACATAAGTTGAAACAAATCTTTCTGGATTTTGGTGTAATATTCAGGTTTAAAGCAAATGTGTGGATAGCTCTACTTACCATCAATTTATTATGAAAATAAAAAAATTAATGATTTGAAAAATTTGCATTAATCCATAAAGTAAATCATTCTTGTAAATGCTAAATTCTATTAATCAGTAATAATAAATTATTTACAGTTCAAGTTAGAAAAAAAATGAAATTGCTTATTGGGTCTCAAAAAAAAAAAAAAAAAAAATCTCACAATGAATCCATAAAAACCTTACCCTGCGAACTGATTTGATGAGACGAGTACATGCTCTCATGTGTCGGCGATAACAGTAGGGATGGCAAAAATTTTGATGTGAGCAGTAAAAATTAAATGAGTTTGCCATCAGTACAACAGCCTGGATAAAAAATAATGAGCATCATTGATCTTTTATCACATTTCACAAATTATATCAACTTGGTTTTAGAAACAAAATCATTATTCACTGTAATGAAAAGTTATTGTCATAGGCCATTTACTTAAAATTTGAGAGATTCTAGTGATCTGGTTATGAGGCAGAGCATAGTGTTCACTTATTCTAAGACACCCCCCTCCATTCAGCATCACCAACCTAACAAGAAGTGAAAGAGTGACAGAGATGTAGGGATGGAAAGGCACGAGTGAAAAAGTTATTATGAGATTGATTTACACATATTTATTACAGAAGTAGCACAAAATTCAATAATGTTTGTGTGGACTCCAGTTACAGGATTCATTAAAAGAAGGGAGTGGTTCATTGCCATGTGAATGATGTTATTTTGATGAAAACAGTACAAAAGTACTAAAATATTGCACACAGTTAAGCATACACAAAAAAGAATAGTGTTCAGTGTGGAGGCCACTCTGAACCATTTCCCTCTATGACTTTCTGTATTGTTTTTCTGGCATGAAAATATTCCAAAGGAATAATTTGCAGTTTGAACAGTGAGCCTCATCATACAGAAAAGACACTACATTTCCATCAGAACAAGGTTTCATTTCACAACCCAGCCTACAGCTGTCTGTTCTGAGACAATTGTCCATAGCTGCATTACATTGAACTTTGACTTTGCACAAGAAACTAAAGAGGAAAAACAAAAATGAATTGAACACTAATATGGCGAAACAGCAAGTGAATTCCACGATTGGTACCCTATGTGTTTTGATAGTAGTGGGGGTAATTTATGAAGAAGTGAATACCACACTTCTCTCATAACCAGCAGATCACTAAAATACCCAAAATTTGTAGCATTACAGAATTTGTATTTTAAATGTCACATTCAAAATAACCTCAAAGATAAGGTTACAATTCATACAATATAAACATCCATACTAAATCTGAGTTTCCTAAAACATTACAGCTCTGCCTAAAGGATTTCCAACTTTTTTTAACAGGGATCACTGTCAATCTGATATGATATAGATAATTCAGATATAATAATACCTTCATCCATGGCATATGCTTTGATGTGTCGTCAGTGTCATTACTATCACTAGGACTTTCTGGTGGTTGGTCATCACTCAAAATTCCAGGTGATTCTTCTCCACTGACTTCACCGCAACCACCTTGTTCTGAAGTATCACTGCGATCTGAGAGCGAGCTCACTTTTCGTTTTGATTGTATAGAATCAGTCCGTTTCACAGAATGGAAAACTGCAAATAAATGTTTTTACAAATAATCTAAAATGAATAACTTAAATTTAACCAGAAGATGATAATAATAAAAAATAATGTAATTTAATAATTATGCTTTAAAATGAAAAATAGTTTTTAGATATTTAATGTTAATGAGAAAATACAACAAAATTGAAAGGAAAATCCATACAATCACAATCCTCCTTCATTTCTTTTCCTGGGCGACGACTCAATTTTAAACTACGACGTTTGAAGGATCCAGTGGCTGAGGGACCACCTGTACCTCGACGAAAAATGAATGGACGTCCGGGTGGGGGTCGACGGCCTCCTTTCTTCTCTTCTATGATCTGTCCATCTTCTCCCTATTAACAAAATATAAATATTAGCCCTAATGGGAAAAAAAGAAGAAAGAAAACAAACTCAAAATACTGAAATAAGAACTAAAAATAAAAAAATAACTAAAAAAACAAGCAATCTCATAGAGACAAGCATACCTGCATTGTAACTGTTGTATTACTGCTTCCTTCTGATTCATTATCCGGTTCATGAAGTACAAAACTGATTTTACGTTCTCCTTGCAAACCTAGAAAAAAGGGATTTGAAAAATTAAAGAGATAATGAGAGAGTTTACATGAAAAACCAATTTTATAGAACTTCTAGTTCTTATTTTTAACTGTACCTTGATAGAAAGAACATTGAGCCCCATCACGATCTCCAGCGATTGACTGAAGGCTTTGCGCAGATGTTTGAGAATGGCCCATAGATGAGAGAGCCATACTCCATCTACGATTAGCTTCACGACTATATATAGGACCCCAAGGAGGTTGTCTTTCCCTTCCAGATGATCGTGAAGATTTTGGGAGGGTTTGGTAAGCTTCTCTTAGGAATGCTGTGATTTCCAACAGTAACATGCAAGCGATTAAGCGCAGTGCAACTGGACACTCAGAACCGTATAAATTCACACTAGCTGCAAATGAAAAAATAATTTATCTTTTATTGCAATGCAATTTGACAATAACTGTTATTTTACATTAATCAAATTACAGAAAACACTCAAAGAATGCTCATAATATTGACTTTTATAATTATGATGCAACAATGAATTGCATACATTAATCAGAAGCATCCTACCTTATAATAAGGTAAAGTAACTTATGTTTAAATATTATGAACCATTAAAAATGTCCATAGAACCCATAATCTGCATCTGCAAGGCCATGGTGCCAAATTCACTATTACTAAGCATAGACTCCTGCAAAACAAACACTATTTGGGCAACAGGATTGTTGAAAACTGGAATAATACACTACCTGATGTGGTGATGGGTTCAAAAATTGAAGCTTTCAAGAGGGCTTTAGATTTACCAAGCACCATCCTATTATTGTCTAGTTAAGCTCACATGGAATTGAAACTATTACTGTAATTTTTATCTTTTTTTACCTTTGCAACTTTTGTAACTTTAAATGCTACTTAGATTTTTGTAAAGTTTTTTGTAATCTTTGCTTCACTAAAATACCTTTAATGTATATCACACAATATGTCAATTATGAATCATGTTAGCGATGATTCAGGCTACACCAGGCTACAAAAAAAAATCATTCTTCATTCTTTTGATGTAAATATCCTAACATAATCAATCATTTGTAGTTACATATAATTTGAGCATTTATTTATCATATTATAATTTTACAAAGGTTTGAATTCTTATCTGTTATTGCCAAAAAGAATATGCATCTTTCCGGTCAACTTATTCCAATACTGAAAGTATATTAAAATTAAGAGGTCTTTGTACTTATTTATTTCTGTTATTTAAGAGAGAGCATAATTATTTTTCTCTTCAAAGGAATGCATGATAAAGTGACAAACCTGCAGAGGAGGCTATTTGGTCTTCAGCTTCACTCCCACCCCCAAAGCTAATGATTCACAGTATATTACTTTACTAATTTTCTTTCATAAAGAAAATCATAAAACTGTATAATACTATAAATATAGAAAAATAAAAATTAAATTCAGTGTCAATGAAAACTGTTTTATCAGAAAACATCCAAGTTGGCTAGACTACAACAATATACCTCACTCTCTAAAAACATTTGGATTGTGTCACTGTGTGATAGCCCACGCATGTTTCTTAAGAGGAGGAAAGATGCCAATTGCATAAAGTATTTCAAATTCAATATACAACAAATTAGATTACATGTGTCAACTTGTAACTGGATAAGAGAAAATATCTACAGTGCGGTTTTTCCATAGTTTCCATTAACGCAATATGTAAAATTACATTGGCCTGACACCTCTGCTCACACCTGACACCCTGGTCTGTCCCTTGCCTATCATAGTGTTACATGCCTCACAGGACATGGTACGTTCTCCTGATTTGAAAAGAAGCCAATAGATGACAGTTCAATGGAGACAATTCTCCCCTTCTGCTATATGGCTCCACTAAGCTAATGGAGCACTGAAAGTTATGAACAATTAATACTTGAGAGAAAAAGCAGAGTTCCTTCTCAGAGCAACTTCGATTTATTACAATAGTTACATGTAGCTTAAAAGCATGTATAGGTTAAAAACTCATTCAAAATAAATTTTTTGTTGTTATTAACTCTAAAAAATGTACATTTTCCCTTCACCCATCAAATCAAATATTTTATTGGATAATTTCATCCAGTCAAGGAAATAAGTGAGGAGGAATTCGTCTCTTCTCTCCTTTAAGAAACTGCCACTGAGAACTGTATTTAATCAATATCTACCTTCATCTAGAAAATCTTCCTCTTCATCTTCTATTAGCAATTCTTTTTGATGTGTTTCATCTGACATCATATTAGTTACAGTATCTGCATGTTGCTTGTCATCCTTAATCATTTCCTCTAGACGAGTTCCCAGTACCTGTATATAAGTAAATATTCAACTAGCAACTTATATTTGAGAAACACGTGATCTTATTCTGAAACAGTTCTTCACAAAACATACTCATAAGTACATATTGTGATTTATAATTATTACAGTTAATATGTGATTTTTGCAATGATACAATATCTTTTCTGATTTCAAATTCTGCTGAATAAATCAATGCCAAAAACTAACATGTTGTATATTAACCTGTAATTGGGTTTCCTCATTAGAGTACACATTCTTTAAATAAATAAATGATCATCAATCAAAATTAGGCTCTGGCTAGTTGTCTTGAATGCAACTGCTCTTGATTCCTTTTACACAGCAGGGTAATAATTGTGAAGAATGTAAATTGATATTGAAGAATAAGAATGTGAATGGAAAGAGGAACGTGAATGGAATGGGTACAGGAACGGATGCCATTACAACAATAACAACAAATTTAATATATTTTGCTCTTTGGTAAGATGGCAATTCCTCATAATTTTATTATAGGGTATCTTTGTAAATAGGTGGCACATATTCAACACCTACCTCAGCCCACTGATAAAACATTTTTCCAGCTGTGCGCTGCAAGACATGGCTACGCCTCAGACCAGTAGGAGCTCCACGATTCACTAATGGGCCGGAAGGGCGAAAAATTGGAAAGTTGAGTTTCATCCAAGTAGGCCATTGTCCTTTATTACAACAATGGACAAAGTGTGCACATTCCAACAGTAGGGCAGCTCTTGACACTACAGGAGCATGAGGCTGTTGAAAACAAGTTCAGAAAAAAATTGTCTCAATGCCCTTAATACTTACTATATGACCAGGCAGAATGAAACACATGCCTATAAATTTAAGTCTGACAGTCTAAGTAGATGTGAAAGACTTCAAATTTGTGCTTCAATAATGACACAAATTGTGTAAATAAAGAACATTTCTATAAATCATTAAAATATACTGAAAACTGGAACTCAGGAAGAGATGTGCACCTACATACATGTTATCTACCTAGTCATACATGATTGAAATTGTATATTTGACACAATGGCACTTACCAGATCAAGAGAGGCTGCCAAAAGATGAGGATCTGGTATTGAACCTGGTTGACATGTCTCAAGCATAAATGCAAATCTTTGCATGCCCTGCCTCACAGGAAGAAGGGGAACAAGTTTGCGTTCTTTCAACACAACAAACTCAGATTCTCGTCCATGATCTCCCAGTTCAAGAGAATTACGTCTGCTTAAGTCTTCATAATACAAATCCAACAATTAGAAATATTTTTTGCCTTATGTACATAAAATCTGTAACTGTTATAACACTTACCTTGTGATTCTTCTAAGCTCCCATCTTTCTTTTTTCCTTTGATAAAACCAAATTTATTGAGATGATCTTCCATCTTTTTCTTAGCTCTCTGAAGAGTTTGTCCCATTTGACTGAAATATGATGACAACAATTTACAGTTGTATACTAATGGAAAAAAAGAAAGAAAAAAAAAAGAAAAACAACAACAGAAAGAAGGGAAAGAAAATTTAAAAAATATTTTTTTTCTTCTCTCGTATTAACGTCATGGAATTCATTGGAAAGCAAAAACTGTTTAGTTACATAAACAAAATCCTTTCTAACTAAAGATTGAAAATAGGATGATCACTTACAGTAGTATCTCTAGAACATTATATTGGCTAGAGAAAAGATACACTAAGTTCCTACAGGAAAGACACGCTTTCAACAATTTCTGACTCTCCTGATTTTAAACTACTCATGTACAAATACAGTTTGCATTTTTAAGTAACATAGTAACTATGTTCTTTATTATATGCATCTTTTTGCTAATTGTAGAGAATTGAAATGTTTGCTTTGTGCAGTAATCAAAACCTTCATGACTCACAAGGGGATAAATTTCTCCATTACTGGGAAAAACACAGGATCATAGAAATATTTTTCAAGAAGTTAGTGAATGAGCATGAGGTTAGCAGCAGGCATATAGAGGGGTGGGTGGGTGTATAATTAGCAGTGGGTGAAAAATCAGCAGTGAGTGTCAGGTGAGAAGCAGTTGAGCTATGTGAGCTGTAAGCAAATGTATGGTGAATTCAGGGGGAACCTACAGTGAACATATCTACAGATGAGCACTGGATAATTGTATGATGAGTGAGGGAGGAGTAGCAGATAATCAGCAATAGAGAGGCTTAAAAACAACATTTTTCTTGCTTTCGTATGTTCAAAGTGTGCCATGCCAGCCATTTGGATATCAAGCCTTGTAATTAGGTGTGTCTTTATAGGATAAGAAGGTAAGTGTTTTTAACATTTTTTAAAAATGTTTTTCACATTTTTCTCTCTGAAATCATTGGAGCTTAGGTGTGTGTGCAAACTGATATTTAACAAATAGATTTTTTAAATATGATAAAACATAGGGTTCCATTCTGTTCCCATTTTAACTATAGTACTTAAATGAGTTATATTTTATTATTTGGACATGTATAAATGATATATTAAAAATAATGTTTATTGAATGTAAAGAAGGAAATGAAAAATAAAGGACATAATATTTTGGTACTTAGCCATTTATTCACTTCCATTCATAAATCATTGAAGAAAACATCCTGGATGTACTGTCATACATAATTGGTAAATATTAGTTTGAAGTATATTCTGCATAAAATCACTCTGTCATCTTAATTTATAATCAATATTCTACATAAACAATGTTTAAAATGCAACTTAATGATACTAAAATGAGCAAAATCATTGAAAAAGATAACATAAACATGATTATTAAAAAAACACTAAAAAATATTCAAACAGAAGATATTTTTGAACAAGAACATTTTTATATGTCTTAAATAATTCTTTAACAAATACACACCTATACTGAACATTAAAGAAAATACAAATTGACTCAACCTCCATTTAGTCAGTTCCTCAGTCCAATCATTTTTCACAATGCTAATTGCATTATAAACTGGGACCAATGCACATTTTTGAACTAATTTGGAACAATTTCATGCAATTTCTGTCTGCAAGAAGTCTAGTTTTCTAAAATAATAAAAATATGCCATTACAAATTAATAAAAATAAAATTGTTTATTTGTATAATTAACTTTTTTGATTCACACCAGAACAATAATGTTCTTTGCAATACTGACTGTATTTACCTCAATGCCCTTCAACAGCTGTTTACTTTGTCCTTATCGATAATCTATTTTCTGAAAATTAAAGAACTTTACAGAACATGTTATAGAACATAATATTTTCAGATTGTCTGGATTAACGCAATGATTCTGTTTTATTTCCTGTAATATTTATATTCACAAAATTCTGTTTAATTAAAGAATGTACATTTTTTCACATTTCCTTCATTTTTTGTTCCCCTGTGGTTTGAGAAATGAGATTTTCAAATTGTCATAGAAAAGTAAAATCTCTTTTTTTATAGGAAAACTTCTGCAAATAATTTGGAACTATTTTGAGAAAATGTCATTTGAGTGTTTCTGAAAATGTGTAATTTGACTTATTTCCTTCCAAAAACTTGTGAGATTTAAAGAAACTTTAATAGAGTTCATTTGAAGCAGGGGAAGTCACTAATGCATTTAATTATGTAATAGACATCTAATATAAATATTAATGATCAAGATATTTCAAAAACATTATATAAAGGTAATTTTTGAAAAGTCAAAAGTTTCAATCAAAAACGTATTGATGGCTTATCTACATTCAGTGCATTGTGTCCTTCCTGTAAAAAATTGAAAAATAATTTTGAGTTGTTTTTGAAAAAAATATTGTTTGTATATTTTTTTGAAAATGTTTTCAGATTTCACTAAAAATTATGTGAAAACAACTCATCTTGTGAAAGAATTGTACAGTAATTAAAAATTAACATTTGAAGAACATAGTTCATTAACAAAAAATGTTTACCTTCAATAATGTGGTTGTAGGTGAGCATCAGAAAAATTTTGAAGTTTTTCAATTTCCAAAAATTTAGTGTTTTTAATGAAAATAAAACCTGTGTCATTTTTATAAGTGTACACTGCTCTACCTAAGAAAAAAAATGTAAAGAAAAAAATTGGGTTATTTTTGAGATAGTTTGGAAAATGTCTTAGGGGTTTCAGATAAAGTACCCCCAAAAATTAAAAGATTAGTTTTCAAATTAAGAAGACTTTCAGTCATAACAATAAGAGAATGTTCATTTTAGGGAAAATTCTGTGTGTGGTTTAGGCACTAATGTTCACAAACAGATAGTGAGCTTTGAGAAAAAAGAAAGAAAAAAGAAAAGAAAAAAGTCAATATTAGGTACCCTGAAAAACCATTAAAACCTTGACATTGATTTATTGCAGAACTACATAATTTTCTTTATTCTACATATATAAGAAAGTAAAATCAAGAATAATTCTGTAATTTTCAGGAAATAAATATAGAATTTAATAGATGAAATGAGTACCTAGAGTACAGCAAAAACTATTAGAACCTTTTTTATTCAAAACATTTTTTTTTAATTGTGGTCAGAGTATTCCAGTTATTATGTCTCTGTGCATTTATTACACATATGTAAATTGTGTAGTAAATGAATATCTAATAAAAAAACAAAATGTTGAAAAGCATAAAGGAAGCAAGAAATGAAAACCCATATTATTTTAATGGTGGGATTGATATTTAAGCTCATATGACTTGTATGTGAAGAAAAAATAATAACTTTGAACACTAAGAAAACAGAGAAAAATTTGCTCTGTGAAGAAGTTCCATACTTTTCAGATGATGATCTATAAACTACCAACTATTTTACTACTTTAAAGCCTACTTCAATCAGAAGGAAAAAATAGAAATCAGTCTTTTTTTTAAAGTACTCTTTCGTTTCGCTTTAAGAACACCTCATAGTGATAATTGGTGTTGACTTTCTGGGGGAATACTTGGGGATGCTCAGATTTAATGATTTGAAAGCTCAGAATAAAAAAATTGTAATTTTTAAAGGCAGAAAATTGAGATATGTAAGACTTCTTTTGCAAAATAATATTTTGGATAACTTTTCTGTAATTTTGTAATTTAGGTTACAATATTGATTTACTGATTTATTTGTTTACTTTAGGGCACATGATAAAATTAGGTTTTGATATCATTCTTACACAGTTATGTTTTGTGTATATTAGATGTTGACAATAAGTCTATCAGAGAGTACCATTTAACTTTTTCCCAGAAAATCAGCACTGGTAATAACAAATATTTACTACAAGTGAAACAATTGTTTATCAATAGTCATGCAAGACTTAAAATTGCCTTCTATGAAGAAAGCTAAAGTTTTTCTAATTCAGAGATCATTAGAAATGCCTGCAATTACAATCAAACTTGCAGTTATAATTTAAAGCAGGTTTGTCATTAAAATGAAGATCCAAGTAGTTTTGCAACAAATGTAATACAATTTAATAAGTTAATAAGCTTAAGAGTGGAGTATTTAAGGGCAGAATTCCTTTAAAAGTATGAATTAGAAAACTGTGATAGTTTTAAATTATGCATTTGTTGAAGCAAAAAGCTTTTTTTTGGTCACATTGCAGTCATAACTGGTGCAAACATATAATGGCTGGCAATCAAGTAGAAAAACAGAAAACAAACTTTGCTTCAATAAACATAGGACATTATTTTATGATGAGAACACTATATATCCCAAACCTTTTCATACTAAAATTATAGATAATACAAGGCAATCATTCAAATAAACTGAAACATGCAAAGAAAATATTCTGCAGCTACCTGCTACTACCCCTTTGAGTGCTTTGTCTGTAAGCAGCATGAAGAGATGGTTGTCGAATGAAACCTCCCTCTCCAGGTGAATCACTTCCATCTTGGCTATCAGTGGATTCTGTGCGTCCGTATTCTCTTCTAAACCAGCTCACTAAATGCATGTTCCAACATTTATGTAGAAATAGTTGATAATTTCTAAGGATTTTAGGAGTAGGTAAAAACAAGATTTCTTGAATTTTACCCACTTCTATGCAGATGCTGTTTTAATGAAACTACCATAGTTCTACATGTTGGTTTCATTAAAAAAAGCATAAGTAAATTTGCGGCAAGAAACAATGCAATAAAACTCACCTTTTTCATGCAAAACATTACATTCAAGAGAAAACAAATTAAATAAACAATTGTATAGCCATACACTAAATGCAAATTCAAGAAAAATTCCATTCCACAACCATAATTAGTTCAAGCACCATCAAACATACCAAGACCGCCAATAGGAAAGCGTGACCCTTTTCCTTTCCCTTTGGAAGTTGATGGCATTGGTTCACCCACACCTAAGTTGCGTTCACTCTGACGTGGAGTCAGGATATGCTGTTTGCGTCGTAGGTTTCCCAGAGGACTTTGGCTTGCCTTTGTTGAGTCATCACCCCCTTCTGTCTCTAGCAGGCTCTGTGGGTGGACACACGAGCTAACGGCCGGGTCTTCCAATCTGCAATGCACCACAGCAAAGATTGGAAAGCGCACTCACCGCACAAGTCGAGGATGTGCTTCTCTTCTTGAAAAGCATCTTACGACTGCTTCGATCATCTCCTGAGTACCCTTGGCTTAGGTCAGTCTGGTCATCTGTCTCAGAATGGTGGACATGCCTTTGAGGGGAAAAAAGCAACAAAAGAAAATTATAAAATCTTTTTATACAAATTGTTTAACGTGGCCTTGATACTCTGAAGAGTGTCCATCTTGAAAAATTAACAAAATTTATCTTTTTTATTTTGCACAGATAAAAAGACTTTTCCTTAAGAAAATAATTCTTGATGCTCATTATTATCATGGGTGCCTCTGGAATGTACAATTTGGATGGGTCATGAAAAGAAGTGCGAACTTCTGTGGATTTTTAGTTAAAGTCATGGCAATATTTTTATTGTTTTATTTAAAATAACTTAGTGCCCTCTGTAAATTTTAAAAAATGTCACATTATGACATTACATCTTAATGAATTCAATAACATACTCTGATAATAAACGTAAAAAGATGGCAAGCACATAAACAATGGCAGCAGCTGTGGTTAGAGCAGTAGCGACTGTAGGCATTATGCCCATTGGTCCTCATTTACAAGATATGAAAATGCAGAGTCATAGGGAATTCTTATTCTATCTTCCAGCAACTTATAATATTTCTTTCCCATGTATTTTTGACTGATGGCGAATGGCAAGAGATTTTTTCCCTCCATGTTATTGATTTACATTCTTAGTGTTATTAAAAATAATTGTAATTTACATAATATTGTACTGAAAATGTGCTTACTAAAAAAAATAGAATTAAACTATTGGTTATTTTTGAAAATGTAGGAGATGGGTGAGAGCGTAGGCTTCTGCAGCCGGAGTCAGTATTTACTAGGCTGTCCGAGTGACGCAGCGTCCATGGCGAAGGTGCCGATGTTTCGGTCGCCATTCTGCAACCTTCCTCAGGGCATAATGCATCCTACTCTCAGGGCGCATTACGCCCTGAGAAAGGTTGCAGAATGGCGACCGAAACGTCGGCACCTTTGCCATGGACGCGGCGTCACCCGGACAGCCTAGTAAATACAGTAGGAGATGGGATTTAAGATCCTCCATCCTGCCACCCCAGTGACACTCATAATAATATTTTTTACAAACTGTGTGTATATTCTTGCTTGTCTCATTCAAAAGCAAGATATCCAGACACTTTTATGATGGTGGATCAAACATATGCTAATTAGCAACTAAAATTTATAAATTTTTAATGATATGCAAAGAAAAATCCAACAACCCATTCTGTCATTTAAAGTTATGCAAAACACACCTAATAACTCTAGTTGTTTGCGTGTCTGGTTCCTTGCGATGTGGACGATTGGATGAATCCAGTAATCCGCTCAATGCAACTCGACGAAATACTCCTCCATGAGCTTCTTTGATGTAAGTCATTAATAATCTCACATCACTATAAAGACTCTAGAACAGTGAAAAGAATGCAAACAATTCACATGTCTTATAATACAAATCAACATTAAATAAAACAATAATAACTTAACTCACAATGTTTTCTTGTGATTTTAGTTCTTTGAGAGATCCTACAAAGCGTGTGACAAGAGATTTAAACACACAAGCAATAATTTGCCCTTCTACCCCACGGCTTCCTCCTCCTCCAAGACCAGCTCCAAAATTTGTTGCATAACCCCCCTGAGTGCCCATATCTGGAGACTTACTGCAACTTCTTTTCTGATCTGCTGGAAAGTAAAATAGCCCATTTTGCAGAAACACTCATAAAACATCATGAACTTCAGTTTTACTTCTAGAGATAACATATTAGTTACAATATAGTATTACTTTATATATTTAAGCAATTCTGACAGGAAAAACTTTTAAAGATTTTAAAAAAATCATGAAATAAAAAAGTAATGTTATAGAAGTGGAAAGAAAAAGTAAGAGTTTGATAAAAGAAAAAAACAAAAAAATATCAATTTCATCAAGGCATAGAATAGGCATATTGCCAGTTAAGAAGCCCAGTGTTAATTAATTATTTGAAAAATATTGAATGTTCTTTCTCTGGTGCATTTGATTCTTCTTGTCAATTTTACTCACTGAGTGGTGATAAGAGAGAGCTGGGATCAACACAGAATCCAACATAAGCATGGAAAAAGTCAAGTAAATCAGGTACAGAATACTGTCGAACCATGTCTCGAAGGAAACGAGAAAATTGCCGAGAGCACGCACGATGTAGTTTGCTTAAGATTGATTGCCCCTGAGAGCGCAAAAAGTCAGCTGGTGGACCCCTTTGCCCATCTCCACAACCATGAGGACAACCTAGATGTTTCAATACTCTGCAAATAGGGAAGAAGAGGACACCCATAATTATAGTGCTTAAAAGAATTATTCTCTGATTAAAATTTAAATACACATGACAGCTAATGAGCTGTCAAATGCATTTAAATTTTAATCTGAGAATAGTTACTTACATTTATAAAAAAAACCTAACAAATATTCTATTAAATTTATTACATTAGCATTTCTGAATTAAAATATATTGAAATGCCACTCAATTACAAAATAAAAATAGCCAAATAATTTGCTATAGTTTCCAAGAAATTTTCCAAAAACTTAATATGTAGTTTAGTACTTTATGAAATGACCAATATTTGTAGAGTAACAATGATATAAGAAAGTGCTTTATGAGAAGCATTGGAACTGAAAATAGAAATTTATCAATAAAATGTTATGTCATTGTTTGCTCTTACTTCATAATATCAGATATTAATTACCTGATGACACAATTCATCACAAGATTATGGGCTGTCATCTCCTTTTCATTAAGTTTTCCTCCAGGGGACGATTCTTGCACATTTGGGGCAGGAGAAGGCGTGGGTGTAGGTGCAGGTGCAGGAGTGGTTTTTCCCCCTGTCCAGCTAGGTGTTGCATCGGCAGCTGTACTGGTTCCTCCATTGACATCAGCTTTGGAGGAACTCTCACGATTACACCCCTTAAGAACACCGGCATCTAGTAGGAGTTCCAGCAGATTCAAAATTACTTCACAGACATGCAATGTGCAAATATTGTCACGAATAGCTGCTGAATGAACCGCCTGTAAAAGAGAGTAAAGAATATTTAATAAAACTTAAAACTACTGATACTTTCAAACAATGAATCATGCAAGAAAGAGATCATTTACCTAATTAATTAATTAATTAATTAATTAATTATTAATCGATATATATTTAATTAATCGATATTAAAAAAATATTAACTTGCTCTCTCATGTTACATACTTTTACTGTTGATAAACTTTTAGGTGTTTTTATATTGAAATCTATTTTTTATTTCTCTTAAGAACAGATCCCTTTAAAATTTTAGGCTGCAGGAGTTCTATGATTCGTTTATTCTTTATCAAGTAGAAATTAACATTAACCACATGCTTTGCCAGCTAAAATCAAATATGAATTTTGTTTTTGCTTCTACTTATTTACAAACAAATGGTGCACAGACAAATAAACTAAGGTAAAGATCCAAATAACCGAAAGTGTACCAAATGTGTGGGATGTTAAAAAGTAAATGTATTAGTTATAACATAAATATATGAAGAGATAGAAGATGAAAACTAATGTCCAGAGACATTCTTTTCATAAGTTGAAACTTCTTAAAAATGCTGTTTTCGTTGAGAACAAAACAGAAAAAGAAAATAAAATCTGTATAGTATCGATTATGAAAACAGTCCCAAAGTGTATTATATTTTTGTAAAGGGCAAAGAAAGAGTGATAAATTTCTTTCTATATGAATTTCATATTTTTTAATTGCTTTTGTGATCATTTACCATATTTTAGTATATTTATATTTTACCTTTAACACCACTAAGTAGTCAATATCTCCTTCTTTGGTGATGTAACAGGCAGAACCCTGGGCTTCAGGCACCTCTTCTGTTGCATAAGTAATATTTGAATCTGTCTGAGAACGTGTTAGACTAGGTTTTCGCTCAGACTGTTGTTTGCTACCTTGAAGACTGATGGCATCAAGCTGGCTGTCTATGGACCCCTGAAACATTGGCTAAAAGTGAGATCTAAACTTTTGAAAATGATAGTAAAGAATTCACTGGAATATTTATTTCTTTATTTTTTCATAAAAAAATATTCTTAATATATTTGTTCACCCAAAAATAATAAATAATTAATTGATAGTATTTTATAGTTTTATCAATTATAATACAATCATTAATAATTTAAGTATAATTGCTATATTTTTCATCAAATACTCTAAATAGGAGAGGATTCTTATTCTAGGAATTGTAATAATTCTTTAAAGAAGAATCAGCTCTCAGCAAGCAAAGTATATCTATGGGAACATCAAAGAAACTTCTCTATTAAAGTTTGGTCACTCATCTGCAATTCTTAAGGTTGGGAAAATATTCAATTGATACTACAAAATATATTTTATAAATGTTGATAAATTAGCAATGAAATCACCATTGAAATAGTGACCTCCAAATGCATTGAAAATGCAGAGGTACCTTACCTGTCTTTTCAGGTAATCAGGTGATGGTGTAGGTGTATGCTCTGTTACTGTAATAATAGGGTTTGTTGTTCCGTGAGGAATGGCACCAACAGCTGGCCGTTGTTTTTGCCGGTCAGGATGGATCTCTCCAATGTACCTGAGATTCAATACAGACTTGAATAAAACACAATCCTTTCACTGTAAAAATTGCTCAACTGAAATTAAAACATTCAGCCCTCAATTAATTATATATTTCTTTACCAAATCAATATAAAGTAATAACCTGACTATTTACAGTAACCGTTATTTTAGACAATAATTTCCTTGATAAAGGAACTACTGTTCAATACACAGTGAACCTGAACTCTTCTGACAAAGTTCAGGAAGTTACCTCCAACAAGAAGGCACAAAAATAGCCTAATGAGCAAGTTCATGAAAAAGACTCGTTTTACCAGAAATAATGATTCAAAAGTAGCTTTTCATTTGTAAATGCAGTGGCCCATTGAGAAACAAAGACAATGCTAACAATGATATCTTTCTTTTTTTGTAGTGCTAAGGAGTTGGAATACAATGGTCCAATGCATGGGAAGGAATGATCCTAATCTATGAGAATAACTTTGTAAAGTGCAGTTTTGAACACGTGTTCAAAAGTTCATCTGCTTCACTTTCACTCAAGAGCCATATCCTTAAGTTTGTCAGCAGAGTTCAGATTCATCTTGTATATTTCAGTATAATCATGCATCATTTTTCTGAGAGAAAAATTAAAGGAATGTGATTCTGTGTTATTTAAAAAAATGGCAAAATACAGTCAACATAATTGCAGTTGGTGAACATGAAGTATGGAAATGTATATACATTGTATTTACTTGATAATCTATTGAAATATTTTATTATATACAGCTTTTTAAGTTCATATGTGTGCAGAACAGAATGCAACCCAAGACACTTTTAAAGCTCTCATTTTCCAGGCCTGCGTGATCTGTAATAGAGCAAAAGGGATGTGGAAGGCCAGAAAGGAAACACATGCCACACTATGGATTCTAAAGCAGAATAGTGATGCAAAAACACGTCAAGAAAAGCCAAAGATGCTACACATTCATTGCAAGGCTTCATGATCTTGGGCAACTACACAATGTTATTTTTGAGTAAAGTGAATTAATATGACTGTATCAAAAACCCATAAATATTATCAACAATGAGCATTAGCGGTTTCAGTTTTAGAAGCAATTATGGGAATTTTATTGTTATAAAAATGTCACAACACTGACATTTTTACTGTGAAATTTTGTTTATAATATATTTTGTAATGAAAGTTTTTTCTGTTTACTGAACTAACTACACAAACACAAAATACTGATTTGAATTTTAATTCTGAAAGCTTTTGGTTAAATACATTCACTATGGAAAACTATAGTCTACCACAAGCCAGGACTACATACAGATGATGGATTTTTACATGATAACACAAGAGTATAATGCATTCATGATCACGTGTTACATAAAGTGTATGTACATAACTATAACTTTACTTGTGAATTGAAAATGTTTTATATTTACAATAGCACACCTATGTAGCACATGACCAGAGAAACCTACATTACTTGTTTCATTAGAGACAGAACTAAACTTACCCACCACCAGTCAATTCATCTATCAAACAGCTGATTGAGGCAAGAGAGAGAAAGAGAAATAAGACAATATACACAGCCAAAACTCAGGAGGTCACAGATGAAGAAACAGAAGGAAGTTTGGGCACATGAGAGACTGACATATCAACAAGATCATACCTACTGACAAATGGACAGGAAATTAAAGGGATTTCACTAAGTCAACCTAAACAAAGGACACAGATTCACATCTAGCGAGTAGTTAAGTGATTTTGTAGAGAAGTATGTCATTACTTTAATTCATGAAAATTTGTGTGAAATGTGAAGAACTTCAGATTTAATGAGTTGATTTTAGAAACAGAATTAATGTAGGGCATAGAAAAAAGGTAAGTATGTGCCTGTAAATTGGACAGGTGTACAAAATTCGTGGCACATGGTTTATTTGATTCTCCAGCTCCAGATTAGAGCATCAAGAAAATATTAACAATTTAAAAGTCACTAGCATTCACAAACATTATAAAAAAAAATTTGCTGAGTCTCCCAATTTATAACTACAGTATGTTTTGAAATGTGTGAAAGTTTTGTTTTTTGTGGCATATCTTATGGGGTTACCATTAATATGCCATTGTATGTACCCCTGGCCACATTGATAAACATCAATACCTTTGCATCACTTCTTAAAAATTATGATTTGCAATTGGGAGAATATTTATGAATCATATGGCATTGTAAATATACTTCTCAAAAACTTTAAAATTAATTAACATTGAACTCTAAAATTTGAAACTGCTAACAATCAGCAAGCTCTTGAACTAAAGGAAAAAGATATAACCTAATAATCTACTGATATTTATTTGAAAGTTGATTAACACTACAGTTAATGAAAGTAAGGATAAAAATTACTTGTTAATAATAAAGATCTGCTTCTACTTCCATGTGTTAATTTATTTTAAAACAAAGAACGTGCGATAACTGTTTTCATTCCAATTGGCAACAAAATCTTAAATGAAAGTGTAAAAAGCCATTTAAAGAATTGAGTTATAATTGACATTTCTGAGAGTTATGTGGTTCAGTTTGGATGCTGATGGCACTTCTTGGATATTTCCTGTTTTTTAGCTACAAAAAGGAGATTTCAATGAAAGAAAGTTTTGCTCAGCATCAATTTGATTTCTTAAGTTTAATGCAAATTATTAGGTCCAAAACTCAATGTTTGCTCTTTCTTTCTGTTATATTCAATGACATGATAATCTTGCTTATCAAAACTTGTATGTTGCTGTAGAAATGAACAATTTTTTGAGATTAATTTTCTATCTCCCAGCAAAGGCCAACCAACAAAAATAATAATTTTTAGTATGAACAAACAATTTCTAGAGCAAAGACAACAAAACTGAGAACATAGAGATTGAGTCTCAGGGAATTCTACCATTTGGGCTTCTTATTGTTGCCTTGAAATTTCTATCAGTATACACATTTTGGATAAATACTGCTTGAAATTCATTCTGAAAATACAAACATTACATTTATTCACAATGACAAGAAAAGAAAATGTTGGGGCATAATGCAACATTCTACCACATACAATCTATTATGTGTAGTATGCATTTAAGAATGTTTTTAAGAGTATTTACTATCATTTCAGTATTTTAAAGACGTTTTTATTAAACAGTTTATAAGTGTATTTTATTTACTAATATGATAGTGAAAATGTAAATATTTCAGCACACTGAATCATTGCTAATGTATGTGTATTAATATTGTTTCCAGGAAAATGTTTGGATTCAAATGAAACATAGCACAAGGAGAAAAAATATAGAGCTACTCTGTATCAATGCATAATTCTGATGCAAAGGGTAGGTCATATCCATCAACTCACCAACTGATCCACATAGAAAATATTTAAAAAGAAGGGAAACTAGATCTAAATATAAACAAGAGAAAGCAGGAGATAACAGCCAAGGAAATATTAAATCAAACAGCTGAAAACAAAAAGTAAATAAAAATCAAAACTGAAATGCTGCCTGACAGCAATGCCAAGAACTAGGATCAAATAAGATCTTGTACCTGAGACTAGGCATGCTTTTTCCTTTTACCAAGTTGCTGGGTTGCTTTGATCCTTTGTCAGGGTCCAATTTAGGTTCAAATCTCTTGGCAAAGGCAGAGCAAGGCCTAGTGAGATGTTCATCTCCAGTGTCTAAACTGCGATGATAATCCTGAAAAAGATACAAGATTACATTAGTAGTAATTTTATTGAAAATTACTTTCCTTTAAGAGTTAGTTGCTCCAATTTTCTACTCAACAGATAGAAAACAATGTAAAATTTTCACAGTAAAATACCATTCTATTATATATGAATTGTCATGCCTACATCACTGCAGAAATAAGTGATTGGCTTATTCATGCAAGTCTAAAAGTAGCATTTTTCAATAATATTTAGCATTTAGCAACACTGTGAGCAAAACACACAATAAAAGTTTTGCCATCTTGAAGCTGTAATGTGAGATAAAAACACTATATGATCCCAAGCATTAGCAAATGCATGTGCAAAATAAAGAAATACTCATTAGACATTAGTAGTGGGTGCAAAACATGTAAGAAGAAAGGATCAGGAAAGAACCTCACTAGCTACCTTGAAGAAGTGCTGGGCTCGGCCCTTTGCTGAGGACTGAGAAACTTCCTGAAGAGGAAGAAGAGACACTTGTGCACTAGGAAACAGGAAAGAGAAATGAAAAAGAAGTAGAAAATATCAAAATTCAGAGGAGTTATTTTACCTGCTCATACAGAGGTTTTGGTTCATCTCGCCCAATTTTTTCCAGAGTCTTCTCAGATTTAGAAAGAAGTTTAGTTTCTACAAAAGCTTTCAAATCAGCCATTTTCATTCTTTTCTTAACTTTTTCACTAGCTCTTCGAGTGTGACTGCTTTGGTCATCCAACTGCTTACGTCCAAAGTATGGTGATTCTGAGGGGGAAAAAAACTTCACGCTCATTCTTCTGCCATCTTCCAGAAGCCCCCCTTCATGTTCGAGGCTGAACGCACCTGTGAGGTAGGATACATCTTTCACCTCTGGTACTTCCATAAAATCCTTTGATTCTCTCTTCTTTAATTCAGGACTTTGATACAGTGAAACTTCAATCTTTGGTATTGGTAATGAGTTACTTCTTCGTCTAGGCTGCTGTTGAGTAGATGCATCTTCATTGATCTCTTTCAATCTGAAATGGACATAATTTTTCTTTCTTCAAAAAATGGAAAAGAAAATCTTCTTTTTCTACTTTTATTGATCTGTTAGAAGCAAAAGCTACTAAGAGTACTGTAGTAACACTTTAAATATTATAAAACACATAACTAGAGCATATGTTGAAGGATTTTATTAAATATTCAAAGAAGAATATGTCATCACAATATATTTGAAATGAATAAATAAATACATTAATTGTATATTAGAGGCAAACAAATATAAGCAGGAAAATCACCTAGAGCAACACAGAAGCAATAAAAATTTTACTTTGGAATTGGAATTGTATTTTTGTTTCTCATTAAGGCATTCTTAGATAATTAAACACAGAATTGAAAATGACTGAAATAGTCAATTGAGAATTTTGCTGACCTATGATACAAAAACTGTAAGGCCCAATAGACACCCTCCTCTTGCCATTGTGACACAAAGAGGCAACGTAATACTGCCACATCCAAGAATGTAGCTGCAGCAAGGTCAATATTTCTTGGAGCTTGTTCAGTCAACACAACAGAGGGTTTCACTGACAACAAATCCTGCTGTCTACCACTGGAAACTGATTCCTTGTCTGTAGAGGAGCTAAAAATAATGAGAAATTAATTCCAAGTACACTAAATTGTGATAAGTATTACAACGAAATCATATAATTATTTTTCACAACTACGTTTAGGGCTAATGAAAGGTATGTGGAGAATATATAGCCAATGCTGGAGCTGGACAATTTTGTGCCTGGGGCAATGCTGAAATATAGTCCCCCCAGAAAAAAAACAACTGAAAATTATATCAAGAAACTATACGAGTTGTTTTATTTCAACAATAACAAAATAACTCTGAAGCTAGAAGTTTTTGAAATTATATTTTAAATAATAGTTTTAAGTAAAAGTATTTAATGATGAAATAATACAATTTTCACAGTGCTCTTAAAATGCTAAAAAAGTTTGTGTTTAATAATATTACTTGTTAAACACAAGAAATAAGAATATGAATTTCAGTTGAATTTATTTTAATGTTAGCATCATTTGGTTCATTTCATAGAGTCCTACCTTATAAGTAATGACTGTAATTAAAAATTTAAGGTAAAAAATTAATTAAAATTTTTATGAAATATCAGAATACTGTAATGTGATTTATAGAATTATGATAATTTTCTTGAGTTCTAATTTCTTTCTCAATGTTTTACTATTTTTCCCCCCATCAGTCCCATTATCGAGCCCCTTGACTTACGAGACCTATGAGGATCACCCGGTCTGCCCATGCCTAGCACCGGTACTGTATGCTCACTCCACATTCAAGATACTTTTTGAATATCGTGTCCCATATCTGAGAATTTTGTGTTTTATTTTGAAATTTTTATCAGTTTGGTTTAGATTTGTTTTTTATTGTTTAATGCATATTTATTTTTAAATAATTCCCAATAAAATACTTTTTAAAAATCTTTTAAACTGCTTCATAGAACTTAAATCTTTTAAAATGTTTTGAACCTTTTTGGTTGGCACGTGTTAATTCCTGTTCCTATGAATACAAGTCTCACTTGCTTTCGGAATTTTCATATTCAAATTCAGCATTGTAACCAAAAATGGTATTTGTGTCCCTTAATGAACTGCTGTCCTGTCTGAGATTACAAAGAGTTATTTTGTGTAAATATGCTATAAATCTATTCATCATTATTAATTGTAGGAAGAAATCATCTGTAACATAGATATTTCATTTATCTTTTCCATAAGCTATGTATTTAATTTAAGTTTTTCACACAGCATATATACACACTTTTTATTAACATCTCTCTCCCTCTTTTTTTTTTACCTCTGTATATTTGAAAATCATATTTCGCCAGCCCTGCTCGAGGAAATCATAGTATTAAATGCTAACAAAATTTTTACTTATAATTAAACAGTAGTATAATTTAACTGAATTGACATCTCTTTTTAAAAATTGAGAGGAGTTATAGGAAAAACATCACTTGTAAACAATATCTTTTTTCTGTAATTTTTCACAAAACATATTTTCTTACATTAATTTACGATTTGAAAAACCATACCCCATCTTTTGAATAGGAGGTCTGAATGCTTTTAGTTGCTTCATATCTGATCCTGAGATAGCAGTAACTTGCTCTATAGTCAATGTTGATTTTGATGAAGCATTTTTTCCCATATGTACATGAAAAATGCTTGTTTCAGCCTGAAATAGTAAAATATAATATGTTGTAAAATGTAATTATTAAAAAAACTACAAAATATTAAGCAAGTAAATGTTTTACTGTGTATATTGGTGCTTCCTTGATACTGTCAGTTTCTGGGAGAGAAGGTAACCGAAAAATGACCTGGAACAATGTAAAGTTGAAGTTAAACTCTTTGTATGAATACGAACATTAGTTTCACGAAAAGTGTAATTACATAATGCATACCACATGCTCTTCTTCAGTACTTGAGCTCTCCTCTGGAATGGTTTCTGGAAAGATTGTGTCTTTTGGAGAAGATACCCAACCGCTCTGAAAAATATTATCAATAATGTATTCTTTGAACAATCTTAAGACTTAAAATATCTATAAAAATAATAAAATTAAAAGATCAAAAGTCTGGGATACACGCAGATCCACACGTAACAATTCACATTAAAATTTATGAGAATCTCTCATGCTTGAAGTAATAACTTTTTATTCTTACTACTTGGGGAAAGTAATAGAAGTACTATATTCAGTAGTCATACAAACAGGAGAAGAACTCATTGATGGCTTAACTTTAACAATACATATCTAAAAAATTGAGATTTCTCAGGAGAGAGAAAAAAAACTGCAAAGTTTATATTACAAGCATATTAAAATTTGACATATTTCTGTCTTTTAAACAAATTTCTAGTTAATTTCTGTGAAATGTGTCTGTAGAAGAATTTGGTAGAAAGTGCTTTTAACTTTCAAGTGTCACTGTTATCTCCAAACTGGCAAATTTTGAGATAATTGTTGATAAAATTTATCCATTGACATTTCATTACGAAACAAGAAGTTCTTCATATGAGCATTTTTTGAGAAAGATATAGATGTTGTTATTTATTGTTTATTTTTAATTCCTTTAATAGATATTTGATATGAAGTTAATATTTCTGGAGAAGTGTTACTTTACCTTCTCCCAGAAGCAAACAAAGAAAATCTTCAAAAGACATAAAATTCCCTTATTTTCTTTAATTTTTGCAGATTTTTTCTTAATTTTAAACATGACTCATAACACATACTTGTAAGTCTTACTGGGTTTATCACTTTCTAAGAGTCTCCTACACTTCAGATCCCATACACAGTCAGGGGCGTATCCAGCCAATATATTTTTTTTCGGGGGCGGGGGTGGAGCATTGAAGATTTTTGCTAAATAATAAATATATTTGTTATTATATTGTATATTATTTAGGTATTGTAGATATGATAATATAAAATATTGTTGTTTAAACAATTACATAAAACTAACATAAATGAATATTTAAATCAATTTTGCCAAATAAAGGAAGGTAAACGAAAACTCTAGGCCTTTGGCGAGGGTTGGGGGCATGGCCCCCATGACCACAGCGGCCACAGTTTCATCGGTGAAATGCCATTACAAGTACAAAATGCTAATAAATCGGTCGTAGCCTTCTGTGCATGGAAAACTGGCCAGGCCTGACAACACCCGCCTTTTAGCCAGACCAAGGGGGGTGAAAGAGACTGTGGAAATGCTACCATAACCCCAGAACCCCAATGCTGTCCAAGTAAAACGACGCCTGGTCGCGTAAGGGCGTAAAAAGAGCGCCTTCTCCCATCCCGCCAGGGGCGGATCTAGCCGATCATTTTTGAGGGGGGGGGGCATCTCAGATTATTGTTAAATAATAAACATATTTGTTATTATAGTGTATATTATTTCAATGGGTGCCCGCAAGAACCTGATATGGTACATTAAAAAAAAAGTGTTTGGCATTTAAAAAGCTAACATGTGTCCCTCTGAGCGAGAACAAAGCTTTTGCCTTCGTGCGTGCAAGAACCTGAAATGTGTTTTCCTTCTCGCAGAGAGTTCTAGGTTACAGTTTGGTGAAGTGTGTTGTGTACAATTGTTATAGATGACGATAGAGGTCAAATAAGTAGTTATTTGAAGATTCTAGTGGAAATTACTGATAAAGTACGAGTTAATTACTTTTTATTTTCAAATGATCCAACCAGATACATTCCGAACCTTCAGAGAAAGTATTTGTCATGATATTTAATCTTCATTGTGGTCATGTAAAATTGGAAACGTAGAAAATATGCGACAATTTTGCTATAGATATCGAGAATGTGACGAAGGTACAAAAACAAAGAAAAAGCACGAAAAAGAACTGCATTTACGAAAGGCCGAAGCAGCTCAAACTGTGATGAAAAATAATTTTCTAGCTGTACAGAATTACTCAAATACACGGGCAACAGCGTTTGATACGCAGCAGGCACTCCCATACTAATGTGATTTTCTACTCTATGCAACTATACACTTACAACCTCGGAGTACATGATGCAAAAGGAGGTTCAATGCACGTCTGGGCAGAGGACTTGGCTAGCAGGCGATCACAAGAAATAGCTACATGTTTGATCTCTTGTTTTCAAAACAAGTCTGAAATTCTAACAGACAAAACAGTTTCAAGTTCATCGCCTGGTCTGATTCTTGTGGCGGCCAGAACAATTATAAGAATACTATTTCTTTATGGTACTACTTAGTACATTATCTAAACCTCTTTGATGAAGTGGAGCAAAAATTCGCTCTCTCAGGACACACCTTTCTTTATTGCGACAGAGATTTTGAGATATTGAGTAGAAAAAGAGGCCCGCATCAGCAGTTTACTCTCCAGAGCAGTGGGTAAACACCAAGGAAGCGAAACGAAAAGAAAACGTTTTCATGTAACATAACTGATCAGAGATATGTTCCTCTCCCTTACTCCTATTGTCTCGATCTTAGTCTTACACAAAACATGTATTGAAGTAAATTCAGTGCAAATTCAGAAAGCTTTGAAAATGAAAATAAGAAAAGAGAAATCAGGTTTTATTTTCTTACTCATACACTAAATTAGATGAGTGACAAGAAGCCAGCGTCTTCAAAAGAGGAAAATGGAATATTTCAAGTCATCGGCCTCCTCTCTACCACGAAAGATGTTCGTACATTCCATGGCAGTTTCGGGAGTACTATGAAGACATCCAAAGTGTTACACCGAGCTCTAAAAAGCTGAGATTCCAAAAGCATGAGCATTATGGTAAAGATTTAGAAGAAGAAAGTGAAGTGGAGGAATCTGATAATGTAAAAAATCATGATTAAGCTTAATTACTTGTAACATATCAGGTTCTCGCACTCAAGTCACTGTATGATGCTAGTGTCAAAATTTATAAAACTTGCCATGTACATCATATTTCTAAAAAAAAAAATTCTGATGATTTGTGGACATAATTCTGTAGTATTTTACTACTTAATAAAAATAAATTGATCAGCAAAAATTAATTTTTAACCTGAAAACTTTACACCTCTGTACCACAAAACTCTAAATATCTATGTAACATACCACGTCCTTGCATGCATCCATTGATTTATGTTCTGTAGATATGATACTATGCAAATTTACAGTTTAAATAATTACATAATTCGAATATAAATAAATATTTAAATCAATTTTGTCAAATAAAGGAAGGCAAATAAAAACTAGCCTTGGGGGGGAGGGGAGCATGGCCCCTATAAATTTTTTAATTTTTAAAGAAATTTCTTCTTCAAAACTACATCTTTAATTAATATTAAGCAATTTTTGAGGGCAAATGAGATCAAAATTACGCATTTTAGACACACCTTCCTTAGAAACGAATTTAGAAATTAGAAAGTCTTAGAAGTTATTTAAGAATTAAGAAGTTTCTAGAAACTGGAAACTAAAAAAAACGAAAATAGAAACTTCCATTTTAGAAAATCCTTTCCCTGACTGATAATGTGTGCGAGATCGGTATGCAATCGATCTGCGGAATTGAGAAACTGGCTCCATGAACCCAGAAGAATGGTACTGAGATGGACGAAAGGGCTATCAAGGATATGTATTCTGAGAACAAAAGTCATATCGTGCCGGATGCTCGGGACTAGCTACGCGGCCCCGTGTTCGTTTCGCGGTCGAGCCAAGAATATAGTGTGCGTTTTCCTTGCAATGCCCCAGTATATTTGCTGTGTGACGATGAGGAAATTCACTTCTCAGGTTGAGTAGACCGGAATACGTTGTGGGGATGTCTATGTGCTAACCACACCCATTTCCATTAACCCATGGCCGCGAGGCAGGGACGTCGCCGGTAGGCCTGAGTCCGTTCACGGGCTGTCACGCCAAGTACATACATATTTGTGTATATATATATATATACTATATATATATATATATATATTATATATATCTATATATATATACACACACACACACACACAGTTTTCCACAAGACAAATTGAGCCGCACTGTCCTAACGGATTTGTTTGCCGTACGTCCAAATTTAATTTATGCAGTTATCTCACGCTGTGTTGCTTGTCGGTTAGCACCGACAACTCTACGCAAACGCCGCTGCTCTCGGTCATTAAGTGAAAGCCGCCGGCAAATGCGTTGTCCGTGGTGAGAGGTGATGCCTGAAATGAGGTATTCTCGGCACTCTTGACACTGTGGATCTTGGAAAATTGAATTACCAAACGATTTTCAAAATATAATGTCCCATGCGTCTAGTTCCAACTACTAATCCGCATTCAAAGTTTGTTCATTCCCATTGTGCGGACGTAATGAAGGCAGAAAGCTTTTCACATGAATTACTTGAGTACAAACGAAAGCTCTGCCAATACACAGGTCTTTTATACGCGATACTACTGCCGTACTTATATTTGTATATTGTTATCCCTTGACTTTTTTCACCTCAGGGTAGATTTAAAGATAGAGTACCGAGACGAGTCTAGGGGCTACATTAGCGAGATGTTCGGGTAGCACGGGTTGTTCACACAATTCTTCCCAGGGAGCAGTAGTTACCGCGGCTGTTACTGGTAAATTCCTTAGGCGGCGATAGATGGCAGCTGGGAAAGAAGTTTTTTTTATTATTATTCTGTTTATTTACAATCTGTTTTCTTAACAAACATTCAGTAAATGTGTTAAGCAGAGATGAAATCGGTGATACTGGTGTGTCCAGCGTGTGCAGTGAAGTCGCGCTTTCGATCAGGGCAGCGATTAGGCCGCCTCGGTTAGCGGGCACCAGTGATGGGGCGGAAGAGAATCTACATCAACACCAGCGGCCGTGAAATAACAAGCTGCTGAATATTACAACCGCAACAGAGACACTGCCTAACGATCAATACCAGTGGCCCAAAAATCAACAACTTTTGCAACAAGACCCTCCAAAAGAAGCCCAGCTTAAAGTTCAACGCTATGAACAATCACGCAAACTTTACAATACCGCAGTTTTCGCAAGCAAGAAGACACAGAAATTGCTACAGCCGCGGGTTCGCTCGGAGAACAGTGGTAATTCCATCGACATCAACAAATCAGGTACAATCGCAATTTCTTACTTTCCTAACCTAATGGCAAGTTTTTCCTCACTAAAGCGGTAAACGACTGACAGCGGGTGGTATAGTAACGCAACCCACAGCAAGGCCAAATACGTAGATGAATAAAAATAAGCGAACAGGTTTGAAGCACTGCAAAGCAATTAATAAACAAACGCTCCCAACAAACACGGAAAAGACGCCACAAGCAAAGATATGAATGAAGATTACCGCTCCAACAAAACGCTCCGCCTATAATTTATTCCTAATGTGTGTAAAAGTGCCCTCGTTCACAACGAGTCCATTCTACGTGAATGCCATCGGCAAATTAAAATTTACATATTAAAGATGTACAACAAATGAAGTAAAAGTAACCAGAGAACAATAGAAAGCTAACAGAGCAGTTATAAAAATTTCCTGAATGAAAAAAAGCAAGTGTACCACACCGTACCAACTAAAAAAGAAAGAGCATTTCGTGTTTGTCCTTAGGCAACGTAACACCATCTGTTTGAAGTAGAGAGTATTCAAAGTGAAACTCGAGGAACCTTTTGGGTCACAAAAGTCAGGAACATTCGATAACATTTCGCCTACAGATTGACGAAAAGACCCAACCATGCCTGTTTCTACGTCGACCTCGAACACGGCGGAATAACTGCAGATATATCTTATAAAATTACTACATTAATGCAGTAGCCAAGTCAGTTCGAACCGCCGTATAAAAAGAAAGAAATAGTGCAATGCTATAGATTGCACACAGTACTATCATAGTCGTGGCGTACTGCAACGAAGTCTAGATGTGTGAAATCGGAGGAAGCACACCTTATCGAATGTGGTAAAAAAGATAAACAAACAAACCAAACATGCTGCACTTTGCGCAAAGGACACCCATCAAACTACAAAGGCTGCAGAGCTATACAAAGAACTTATTCAAAAGGAACATACCAACAAGTGATCGACAAATAAAGAAACTTCGAAGCGAAAAAAACAACTACGCAAGAAATCAGTACAAAAAACCAGCTTAGGTGGAAGAGGTTTTTTCCCATGGCTTAAAACTCTTACTCAAATGCCCGTCGATCCGCTTGCATAAGTATAACGCCCAGGATAAAAATATCGAATCGTATACCCAAGCTTTAACTCAATCAATCAAGTGATTCGGAAATGTATTACATGAATCATATTTTTCAAGATTTGAAAAAATACTTTAACAGCGAAGCAGAAAGATTAATGTTTCAGTGCTAAATCTATACTCACGATTCTTATTCTCAAAATTAAACTGAATTTTGTTATTTTAAACGCATGCGTGGCATTATAAGATAGCAATGGAATGCAAATGGCCTCCTACAGCACAACAAGAATTAATTTTCATTCCTTCAGAATTTATAAATTAACATATGCTTTAATTATCGCGAAACCCATTTCACCAAGAAATCGGGTCATTTCCTCAATCCCTGTTATTGATCTACACAACACAACATCCAGATGGTACTGCTCATGGAGGAACTGCCATTATTATACGGAACAAAATCAACCCCTCATGAACTTAAGCATACTAACTTTGAATACTTACAGGCACCTCTGTCCAATTTCAAGATCTAATGCGGCCCATCAACGTAAACTGCAGTGTACTGTCCACCTAAGCTATAACATTTCACAGGTCAATGTTCGACACATTCTTCAAACAATACTGGAACAAGATCATAGTAGGATGGGACTAACAATCAAAATCATAATGTCACTGGGGGTCAAGACTAAATACCCAAAAGGTAGTATCGCCTTTTACAATTGTGTTCTTAGAATGAATCTTACACACAGTGTCGACTTGGGAGAACCTAACACTATTGGCTTACTCTGACAGAAACAAAATACCGGACCTTCTAGACTTCTTAGCATTATTAAGTATTTTTCAGTGATAAAATTCGTATAGAACCAAAATATGATATTGTCCGTCCAGATCATTGCCCTTGTAATACTGACCATCAGCTTA